CAAAAAGAACTGGTTCTACTGTTAGTATTGTACAACAAAATACTGATAATTTTGTTTAAAAAATAAGTAACTAATATTTACAACTGAAAATACAGTTCATAAATAATTACTCAGAAAACATAATATAAAATGCTCGGGTGTTCGAAAATAACAAAATCAGCCGAAATGCGTTAAATATTTATTTAGATATTTTCAGCTAAATTTTGCAACGATGAACCTTACTTTCTTTCCGATTCTCATTTTGTACTTAATTTTGTTTGATGCCCTTCATCTGGCACCTTTTAAAGTCTGTTGTAGCTTTTGCAAGCAGGCTCATGCGATCATCCTCGCCGGCGCCGCGCTTCGGCTCCACAACACGCTGCTCGGTGAGCAGAAAGTTCATGATTTGCAAAATTGTAGACGGTGTGAATTGCGTTAAGCGCTGCAACAGCTCGAAGAAGAAGAACGTGTAGTAGGCGCTACGCTTTTTGGTAAATAGCCGCAAGTGCTCGGCAAGTAGTTTTTGCAAACCGACAGCGCGCTTATATGTTGCGCTGCTGACAATACGCTTAAACAAATCCAGTAAGAGCGCGCGACTGGGCATCACTTCGTCGACTATCATAATGTGATTCAACATGAGCAGCGATGTGGCATTTATGAAGGTTTCCAAACGCTTTGTTAGTACGTCGTCGCTGGCGTTATTGGCGTATATTGATTCGATCAGTTCCTGGAAAATAGTCACCACCAATTAACCCCGGTGTCCTCAGTCCGCAAATACGCTCTCCATTAGGCCATGGCTAATGTATCAGATGAAGTCAGTCTCCCATGCGGTTAACTTAGCTAAAGAAGCTGTTGTTGTTGTCACTCTGAATGGCGGTCAGTGCTTGTCTGAAAAGCTCACTCAGTTTATAGCTTAGAGAGTCTGTCTGCAAGCTCAGACCACGAAGTACACTCACTTTGTTCAGTGTTTCCTACGTCACTCGAGAACTCCATTAAAACTTCCTCGCCTTCATCTTTGTGAATCCGTAGCTATATTCCCCGCCACTTTTCGCAAGCAGTTCTATAGATTCCTTTGTTAACAACAGCAGAATCTGTATTGTGGCTCGTTTCGTCTCCACACCATATTCCGTTGAGGAGTCGTCGAAGGCCTTGACGAATATCCATTACCCAGTTGGCAGATTCGGATTACAGGCTCTGATGAGCTGCAGTATCTGGTCCGGCTGCGATGGCAGTAGGAGTTTAACCTGCTACAGTATCCAGAACGAAGTTGCGCAAGGGTCACACTAGAGTCGCGTGGCAACTCAAGCTCTACGTCTGCGATGGGTGGTGGTTTGACTCCAAGTACGTTATTCACTGAGAGGGAGTTGGTGAAGGTGTTGATGGCTCCACTGTGAATGGCGGTCAGTGCATGTCTAAAGTTTATTGCTTTCGAAATTTGGTTGGCGTACTGTCTGATGTCGTCGACGTAATCAAGGAAGGACCTCTTGATGTTCCTAGGAGGCGGTTCCGCTGCAAGCAGACGACTGCAGGGGTGATTTCTACGAAAACATCCCAGCAGAAACTGCTTGGAGAGAAGCCCGTATGTTCCTTGACCGAAAGCATACGGGCCTCACTATGTAGGTGTTCGATTAAGGACATCAAGAGGTCTCTCGTTATAGTCTGGAGTGCAGTGTTTTGACATGTATGAAGCTTCGTCCTCTACGTTGCACTACAACCAGGCGACCATAATGGTGCAGCGTAGTTTAGAACGCTTGTAAGTTGCCAACAACGTTTCTTTGTATTTTCCTCAAGAGCTGCCGGCAAGCGATTTGAGGATTTTGTTGCGGCTCTGTACTTTGGCAGTTATCGCGGTCGTGTGAGGAGTGAGGGAATACAGGCTGTCGAATGTAACGCCTAAAATTTTATGGTTGTTGAATGTCGGAATTTTAATGCTATCGACTGATATGTCTAGATCCAGTCTGCACTCCTTCGTCCAATTTGTAAAGATGGTTTCGCGAGAAAGGTCGGGAAGATAGCCGTTTACTTTCGAGCACATGCCATCGATTGCACTACGAGGTCAAGGAAATTCCCTCTTGTGGCTGGGGGATTTTCGAAATACAGAAATTAAACAGTAGCGGGGAGAGCACACCGCCATGCGGAACCCCCCGTAAATTTCTTCTAAGTTTGGAGTTTACACCTCGAAATAGTACGGATGAATGTCGACCGCTCAAGTAGTTCATAGTCCACCGCTTCAGTCCTGGAGGGAGCGTAGATTGTTCTATGTCCTCAAGTAGCGTTGTGTGGTTGACTTTGTCAAAAGCTTTCGACAAGTCCAACGCTACGAGGATCGTCCTCTCGCAGGGTGGCTTTTGGTTTGGGCCAAGAACTACTTAAGCGTTTATGACACTAAGTGCTGTGATGGAGCTGTGCACTATTCGGAAGACATGCTGACGGTCTGCTAGACTCAGGTGATGACTGAATGTTGGGAGTAGCAAGGCCTCAGGTATCTTCACTACTGGCGAGAGGAGAGTTATCGGACGATAGACTACCCTATTTAAATTTAAATTTAATTAAAATTTTTTTATCTGGTAAAAATCCTCAGACAAACTTTTCGGGTCATAAAAAACCTGCTACCAAACATACCAATTGGCACTTGGAGATCAAAGGTCGGCTTTAGTATACCATCCCACCATTGTAGGATTAAAAGGGGTATGGTTTGATAGAGGAGATTCTCCACATTAAGAATATAATTATAGCCGCCATTAACTTATAGTTTTCGAGATATTTGCATTTTAAGTTGAAAATTTGACAAATTATATCTTTCAATTTCTCAATTTGTAATTAATTTTTCATTTATATTATATTATAATATACTTAATATACACTTACACTTCACTACATGTTTTCTACATATTTATTTTATATCAATTATTTTAATATTTGCTTTAAATAAGCTTTTTATTTTTTACACAATTTTTGTTATATGCACAAAAACAAAAGGCTATGCAACCCCTGACCCCCCTGATGACAAATAATAAGTGTTACCATATCTTTATATTTCTCAAACGAATTAAAATGAATAAAAAAAAAGAAGATTATACCCCAAATATTGTACATGAACCATAATTATTTTCGTTATTCGCAATTTTTCAAATTTTTCTATGCTTATTCAGATCGTGATTATTTTTGAAAAAAATTAGTACAAGTTTAAAAGGTATGTTATTATTTATTTATTTTATTTATTTATTTCAATAACAAACGCCGATCGGCTATATACATATCGATAGATATTACTTAACGTAGTAATTGCTGAGACGGTTATAAGTCCGCGTATAAATACGTTCAGATAATTATTGCACTATAATAGTGACAAAAATAAATAAGTTAATACCGTATTTTAATGATGAATTATATAAGGAAACATTAGTTGTTAGCAGTGATATAGTGAATTACATAAATGAGCTATGGTTATTTATTCATTAACAATTCGTTGATCTTTGAGTTGAAAGTAGACAGCGAGTCATCCTGGAAGTTGATGTTGGAGCAGTGCTCATTGACTAGGTTGATGATTCTATTTCTAGGCCCATGGTAGACATAGCTTTTAATTGTTCTGGATGCGGTTAACAGTCTAGCAATTCTTAGCCCTGGTCTATGTGCAGTAAACTGGAATTGTTCAAGAACCTCAGGCGACATTTTTAAACCGTTAATTACTTTATAGAAAAATGTCAGATCAGCAGCTTGTCTACGGTTAAGTAGATTGACGATGTTAAATTGCTTGTAGACATCTCCTATGCTCATCAGCGAACCCCGGGTGTACATGTAGTATGCAATAAATTTACAGAATTTTCTTTGAATTTTTTCCACCCTGTCGACTAGTATCTGGGTGTGAGGTGACCATATGATGCTGCAGTATTCCAGGATCGGACGAACGAGGGAGTTGAAAAGATATAGAATTGTATGTACATCGCTGAACTCTGTACCTGTTCTTAGTATAAATCCAAGCGTTTTAAAAGCTTTTGTTGTTGTTTTGCTTATATGCTCAATAAAATTGAGCTTATTATCGACTATCACACCTAGATCCTTCCCAGAAGAAACCTCTGTTAGGTGGTGTAGACCAAGGCTGTATGCTGGCAGATGCTGAGAGTGTGAGCGAGAGAGGCTCAGTGTAACACATTTACTTTTATTTAGTTTTAATTTATTTAAATTGCACCAATTGTTAAGTTCCTCAATATTACGCTGGAGACTGACCGTATCTTCGATGCTGTTTATCCTTCTGAATATTTTTAGATCGTCTGCATACATAAGATATTCAGAACTGAAATTATCACCAATATCATTAATATATATAATGAAGCGAATGGGTCCTAGGTGAGAGCCTTGAGGAACACCAGACGTTACTTCATATTCACTTGAGATATAACCGTTTACGAGGACCTGTAGGGTTCTACCTGATAGATAAGACCGTATCCAGTCTAAAGCTTTAGCTCTAACTCCGTACCAATTTTGTTTATTAATTCAGGTCTCGTGGTCTACTGTATCAACGGCTTTGGAGAAGTCAGTGTAGATAGTGTGAGTACTGAGACCATGGTTCATTACATCCAGAACGTAGGTTGTATATAAGTAGAGATTGGTAGTGGTGGATCGACCACAGATGAATCCATGTTGCCTGGAAGATATTATATTATATTCTGAAATGCTGTGGTGATCTGAGTTAGAACCATTTTTTCAAATAGTTTAGACAACGACGATTGGATACAGATGGGCCTGTAGTTGGATACATCACATCTGGATCCGGACTTATGTATAGGACTAATAAATGAGATCTTCCAAATCATATCAATGGCATCAACGGCGTTCGCTCGTGAGACGAGATTTTTCGCGAAATACCATTGAATTATGGTCAAAAGTGCTGTGAAAACTTGACAGTGACATTGTACAATTGAATTGAAGTGGACATTTGCAATAGTTTGCACGTAAACTCAATTAAAAGAAATTTTCAAATACGCAAAAAGACTACGTTTTTCTTTTTTTTCGTCTCTCTTTATAACATTATTCTTCGTTGTCGAATTGTCAAATGTCGTCGTACTTTGCATTCGGTTCGAAACTGTGCTACGTATGTGAATTTCGGTTTTGAACGAGTATAATCGTATGTGTAGAAAATAGTACACTAAGCAAAGACCGCAATAAAGAGGTGTTAAGAAGAGTACACAAAGCGTGCGAATCGGATTTTGAACTGTGTGAAACTCGGCGAATAGACGTTACTCTATAATGGCGCCGAAATCCAGAAAGAAGAAGGCACATGATGTATCTGACCTTGATCTTGATGAAGTATCAGCTCTAAAAATGGAAAATGAACTACTAAGACAGTTAAATTTAGAGCTACAGGAACGAAATAAATTACTGAACAACCTGGTGGAAAAAGGGAATTTATTAAGTGATGTAAGAATTTCATATGCTGACATTGCTAAAGGACATACTAATATTAATGAAAGAGTACCTAAAATATTAGTTAAAGCTAAAAATAATGATAATGGTGAAACTCTGAAAAAAGTAAAAATGAAATTAACAAGTGATCTAACAATACCAATCAACAACGTTCGTAAAAATAATGATGGGCTTGTTTCTGTTAAATGTAAAAACACAAATGATATACAAAGAGTTAAATCGGTCTTAAGGGAAAAACTGGGTGGTGATTATTGTGTTGACTTGGAGCATCTTAATTTTCCTAAAATAAAGGTTACTAATGTGGAAAATTAATTAAACAAAGAAGAATTATGCGAGGATATATGTAATAGGAATTTCCCAGATATTGATGGCGCTTTCAACATCATCGCGGACTACAGGAACAAAGCTGGAATCCGGTCATTGATACTCGAGCTAACCTCTGAGTCATACCTACATCTAAAAAATTGCGGATTTAAATTATACATTGGTTATCAATGCTGCCAAGTATATGATTTTTTTAATTTTAATTTATGCTATAAATGCGGAAGATCAAACCACAAACAAAAAAATTGTAAGAATGAGGTTAAATGTCTTAGGTGTGCGGGTGATCATTTAACTAACACCTGTAAAAGTACTAACATAAACTGTCTCAACTGCGTGTACTATAATGAAAAATATCGGAAAAACCGCCCAACTAATCATTGTGCTATGGATACACGTTGTAAATATATCTCTAATAGTCTAAATAAAATAATAAACAATACTGATTATCCGGTGAAACCATCGATACCAAAGTCACTATGTAAAATTGGAAATTGGTCTTTACAAACAACCGATGATTGATAAAGAAGAAATGCAGATTGAAGAAATTTTTACTGATTTATATAATTTAAATAATACGTTACCTAATAACAATTTCTTTATGGTTCACCTAAATGTTAGAAGTCTAAATACAAATTTCAACAAATTAGAGTTATTTATTGAACATCTTGTAATAAAACCAGATATTATTGTCTGTACGGAGACTTGGCTCCTTTCTTGTTATACTTTTTTGAAATGAATGATTATAATATTTTCTATAATAGTAGCAATAATAATAGAGCTGATGGCGTTGTATTATATATTAAAAAAAATTTTAAAACATGATGTTGAGATAGATGTAATTGATAACGTGAAAATTATCTCAACGATAATAAAATTGAAGGGTAATAAAAATCTTAAAATATCGGGTATATATAGATGTCAAGACATTCCTAAAGAAAACTTTATAGATGCAATAACTAAATTTTTAGACATAAACAAGCATGGGAACAATCATTTTCTAGTTGGGGATTTTAACATCAATTTATTAAATTCTGATATTGCTACAAATGAATATTTAAATAATCTATTAGATCGTGGCTATATACCATATTTCAATGGTGTAACCAGACCTAATGACTTAGGGGGTACTTGTATCGATAACATTTTTGTTATATCAAATATTGAGAAATCAGATCCTTTACTTATGCCAATGTTTTTACAGATCATTATCCTATTTTTGTTGCTCTTGATTTGTTCCCTATAAAGTCTATGCTTAAAGAAACCTATTTCATAAACCACAATCTTATAAAAGTAAATAGTAGTTTACATGATTGGTCTCATATGCTCGATATAAAAGATCCAGAAGATTTTTTAAAACTTCTGATTGAAAATATAAAGAATATTATTGATGTTTTAAGATCCAAAGTAAATAAAACTAAAAACAATAACAAACCGAGGAGTAAATGGATAACTAAAGGTATTATAAAATCATGTAAAACAAAAGAAACTTTATACAGACTATGGAACTATGGATAGAAATAATGTAAAATTAAAATCTGAATATAACGCATACTGTAAAATACTAAAGAGAGTTATAACACTTGCCAAAAATAACTACGAAAGTAAATATGTTAAAAAAATATCCAAGGATAGTAAAAAAATGTGGCAATACGTTAACACGAAAATAGGTAAAAAAAACTAAAGCAACGCCTGTACTGGATTATCTAGTATGTAATGATGAAATCATATCCGATAACCAGGTTATTGCTGATGAGTTTATAACTTTCTTTAGTAATATTGGAGTTGAATTAGCTAATAAAATTGATAAACTATCGATTGACACAAATAAAAATGTTAAGCATAACCCCAATAGTATGTTTCTTACTCCAACTAGTTATACTGAAATTGAAAAAATCATAAAAGAAATGAAAGATAAATCGGGTGGTGTAGACGGCATTAGCAGTAAGATTTTAAAAATTATAGCCAAAGATATTAGTATACCTTTAGAGCATATTTTCAATATATGTATAAATAAAGCTATTTGGCTCTCTGTATTTAAAAAAGCTGATATTATACCTATACATAAATCCGGGGACAAACACTTAGCAAACAACTATCAGCCTATTTCTCTAATATCAAACCTTGCTAAAATATTCGAGAAAATAATATATATCCGATTTTATGATTTCTGTAGGAAAAATAGTTTAATTTCTCCGAACCAATTTGGATTTATAAAAAGTAGAGGTACCAGTGATGCTTTAACTCTTACATCAGATTTTATTTATAAAAATATTGATAAAAATGTACCATCTGTCCTAGTCTTTCTAGACCTAGCTAAAGCGTTCGATACTGTAAATCACGAAATACTACTAGATAAGATCTGGAGGCTTGGGATTAGAGGAATACCTCACCAATTACTTAAAAACTACCTTTACGAAAGGGAACAATGTGTAAAAATTAATAATTGTATTAGTACAAAAACTAATGTAAAAGTTGGTTTGCCACAAGGCACAATATTGGGTCCTTTGCTGTTTATCATGTATATAAATGACATCTTCAATACTCTACCGGAAATGGCTCTCGTAGCCTATGCTGATGATACTGCAGTGCTTTGCTCTGGTAAAAATTGGAATGAAGTTAAAACACGACTGAATAGATGGTTGGAGATAATAAATAAATGGCTACGAAGTAATCAATTATCTCTTAACATAGACAAGTCAACACAAATCACTTTTGGCAGTTATTGTGATAGTATACCTGTCAATTATATACTAAATATAAACAACAGAGAACTCACAAGAGTAGATCACAGCAAATATCTGGGTCTGTACTTTGATACACATATGAAATGGAATTTTCATGTGAACGAGCAGGCCAAAAAAGTCAGATACTTTGCTTTCCTCTTTTTCAAATTGAGTAAATGGGTTGACATAAAAATCTTAAAAACTATATACTATGGACTTTTCGAAAGTGTAATCAATTACGGAATAATTGCCTGGGGTGGAGCCTACAAAAATGCTCTGCAGCCTATAACAAATATGCAAAACCGTTTATTAAAGTTCTTTGAAAACAATTATGAAACTAATTTGCCACTTGACATCAAGAAAACTTTTATTGTTAAGGCTATTATATTACAATACTATGAAAAGTGTAAATCAAAATATCTTACTAAACAAGTACTAAACAGGTACAAACTAGAGCTAACACTCTAACATTACCAAAAATTAAAAAGTCAATTAGCATTAAAAATGCATATTATATAGCAATTAAGTTCTTTAACATGCTTCCTAATAAATTGAAGATTCTAACATGTAATAAAAAATCTCTTAACAAAAATCTAAAATCCTGGATAAATAACTTATCAATATAGTAAATTTTAGCTATATATTAAGTGATTAATTTTTGCTCTTACTTGGTATAATTTATAATTTATATGTATAACTTTGTCACGCAATATTTAGTATAATATACTATTATCCATGCTAGAATATTTATAATATTAGGAAATAAGTTGTTAAATATATTGTATTTGTAATGCCCTGGTTCTATGCACAGATGTTAAACATCTCTATAGACTTGTACCAGATGAAATAAATAAATAAATGCTGATGGGAACATGCCTGATTCCAATGACACACTAAATAGGTGGCTCTGCGAGTCCAGCTGCGCAGTTTCTCAAGAACTGATTAGGCAGTTTATCAGGACCAGCGCCTTTTTTGGAATCAAGTTTCCTCAATTGTTTGTACACGTCATTGTATGATACAGTTAATTTAGAAAGATTTACGTCATGTCTTGAGGTACGACTAGGACTTGTTGAAGTCTGGTTGTTGTTGATGTCGTGAAGATAAGTGCTTTTGAAGAAGGAGGCAATCAAATCGCTGACTTTCTGTCCGTTGTCAGCAGTAACGTCGTTCCAGTGAACTGTAGATGGGATGTCAGTGTCACTTATTCTTCTGTTCTTGACGAAGCTCCAAAAACTGCTGGCAATTTTTTTTATCATATGTTCAGTTTTAGTTAAGTAGACTTTGTAACACTTTTCATTAATGTTTTTACACTCACGCCGAAGTCTGCGAAAAACGTTGTAGTTATAACGAGATTTAGTTTTTTTATATCTAGTGTGTGCTGCTTTTTTTTTTTGATTTTATAAATCAATTCATTTGAAAACCACGTGGGATAATTATTAGACTTTTTGTAGCGGGTAGGGACGTATCGATCACTTCATTTAATTTTTCATAAAACCAGGTAATTTTAACATCCAAGGCTGTAATTTGATACAATTCTATCCAGTTGCTGGACATAAAAAATTCATTCAACCCAATGTAGTCTGCTTCGTTGAATATCAGTCTGAGAGAAGTATTTTTCTTGAGATTAGCTTGGATATCAGCATGTATTTCCAATGCTGGATGATGATAGTCTTCATTGATGAGTGGGTCTGCTCTGCTGACTATAACATTAGTATCGCTAAAACAAAGATCAAGAATTTTTTTATTGCTGTTGTAGTTTGAATTAAATTGTTGACAATTAACCAGAGACATTTCGTTATACAATACATTTTCGCAGAGTGCTTGAGGATAACTGCTGGGCAAATTAAAATCACCAACCGAGAGTAATTTACAATTAGGATACTTATATTTTAAGAACGATATTTGTATGGCTGATATAGGAATCAAGTGGCGATAGGGGCGGTAGATAGGTGCACCCGACTATGGGGTCGCTGTTAGTACATTTTACTTTAATGAATAACTGCTCAATTGCATCTTCGCTATGTTCGATTAGTTCAGCTGCGAGGTATTTTTTTACTGCAATTAACACACCACCACTGCGCTCACTACTTAGTTTATTTCTATCCTTCCGGAAAAGCGTGAAGGTATTGTCTGTAACCTCCCCAGAGGAGATGGAGTCATTTAACCAAGTTTCACTTATGCAAATTATATCACTACTGCAGCAGGCTGATGAGGTTAAGAAGTGTTTAAGTTTAGTTCTTAAACCTCTAGTGTTTTGGTAATAAATATTTAACTTAGTTTTCTTTGTTTTTATTTTTCTCTTTTGATGAACGAAAATTTGGTTTATTGACGATCATAGGTATGCCATTTATATATTTTATGGTTTTATTAGTAATACCACTTTGGGTGATTTGATCTAGTTCTGCACGGACAGTGTTTAAGTGGAGTTGCTGAGCCTGAGTTAAACTAGGCTTAAATTTGATATCAGAGTTATCAGCTGGTTTCGACTTTAGGATAGTTCTTGCAGCTGTGACAGTAGGTGCGTGGAGTAGGACTGGACGAGTTTTACCTTGGGTAGGTTTACCAAGACGTCGTAAATTGATGCTGGGGATGATATCTGACAATTCTTGATGTATTATCGCCGCAATTTTATCAATATCGTCTTGGCGACGGTCGGCGCCAACTGGTTTTACAGATTCCGGGACGTTGAGTATCACTACCTGGGATTCACGCTTTTTACGCTCATTAATTTCAGCGATAACACTATTAGGATCATCAGGGAAGTTCCTAAGAGATGCAAGTTTGTTTTCAACATCTGTCAATCTCTTATCAAGTTTCTTTTGCTGCTGGGCAAAGCTTTTGTTTTGCTCGGAGTATATATTTAAATCAGTACGGATACCTGTTATACTCTGTTCAATATTCCTCATTTGTTTTGTAAGAGAAGATAAGTATTTGGCAAGAATTTTCTCGAGATAATTTTTGTTGATGGACATTGCGTGGGAATTATTGTCCCCATCAAACGCAGCGTCACCTTCTATAATGCTAGCCTCAAAAACACAGTCAGCACATTTCCAGCTAGTTGAACCTTTTCTCCGGAACTCAGCTAGCTAAACATTATACTCCGAGTCACTTAACTTACTACACATTTTGTGAAACCAATTTTTACACTCACAGCAACCGCTACAACTAGAATTCGCTATAATTGGTTTAGCACAACTTTCACACATGTGTTTACTTTCCGCCATCTTTATATCATTATATATATATAATTGTTAAAAATATTATTTAAGACTTTTGAATACATTTTAACGAACCGTCAATCAGCCGTGATGTGGTGAGAACGAATGTTTTTACAGTGTCGGAAATAAAAGAAATGTGGAATATTGGTAAAATACTAAAAAATTTCGACCCTCGCGAATTTCATTTGCGGAAGAGGAAGGTTTAATTTTAAAACGAAAACTATACCGTATCCATACCGTATGACGCTGTCGATATGCGAGAATAGCACGGTTGGAGTTTTCCGATGACGGAAAGGTGCCTTTCGTATACGAACTGCGGTGTCGAGGTCGAACGGTAGATGGTTTGAGAACATCAAAATACCACTGCCTTAAGTGTTCTATTTAATATATGTGTATGCATTACATTAGTCGCATGCGGAGCTCTGAAAAAACAGGTTTATCAGGGAGCCGATTTTATTCAGCGCTACCATATGTGACTGGTATAATTACTGCCGCGAAGACGGCATCATCAGGTAACGGTAGGTAAAATTGGCGGCCCTGATAAAATTGTTCAAATAGACAAAAGTCAATTGGGGAAACGTGAATACAACAAAGGTAATAATAAATACATTATTGTTTATTTTTCATACGTAATTATTTTTTCTTGTTCTATTTTAAGACGGAGAGCGGAAGGCCACTGGAAGTGTGTTCCGAAAACGTGGGGTCTACAGAAGTGATACTACCCTTGATAAAGAGACACGTGGCACAAGGTACCATAATATGTACTGATTGCTGGAAGGCGTATGACTTCCTGACCAATCACAGGTATGAGCATGGATGCGTAAATCATAACGAACCAGATCATCCGTTTGTTGCAGAATATGGAGCCCATACTCAACGAATAGAGTCCCAGTGGCGCGTTATTAAACGTTTTATTATTTAAGATAATTATACCAATAGTAAAGATTTTTCTAATTTAATTGATAAATACATATAGAGAAAAAATACTGCAAATCAGCAGCTAGATCTATTTGAAAAATGCAATAAATATTGTTAGATGCAATAAAACATACTTACTTAATAAAACCTTTTTCTTTTATTAAAATTGAAAATTTAGTTCATATTTTGTAGAGGGTATTTGGGTTTTTTTATTTATTTTGATTGCTTTCATTCGTTTGAAAATGTCAACACTTATTGTATTATTTGTCAACATGGGAGTCAAGGGTTGCATACCCTTTTGTTATTGTGACGAGTAAAACGCTTATTAAAAGCAAATTTTAAAAGAATTGATATAAAATAAATATGTAGAAACAATGTAGATAAGTGTTAGTGTATATTAAGTGTATAATTTAAATGAAAAATTAACTATAAATCGAAAAATTGTTAGATAAAATTTGTCAAATTTTCAACAAATGCAAATATCTCGAAAACTATAAGTTTCCGGCGGCTATAATTATATATATTCTTGATCTTCGGAATCTTCTCTATCTCCAACCGTACCCCTTTTAACGCTGAATCATGGGATGGTATAATAATGTTTCCCCCGAGACCAAACTTCACACGAACATAAAATTATGTACCAATCTAGAAAATAAAATTTTTGGTAAATGTATAGTTTAGGTCCCCCAACGAAAGAGGCCGCGAACATCAAATTTTTTTAAATCGTCTTATTTTGACGCGAAGATTACAAATCCGTGAGCGGAAAGTCGATTTTTTCAATAATTATATAAATATTTGGGTCGGCTTTAGTATAAGGTCCCAGGCTTTCGGGGATAAAATGGGTATGGGCGGATAGAGGAGATCCTCCAGTTCAAGAATAAACGCGGGAAACTTATAGTTTTCGAGATATTTACGTTTAAAGTTAAACATTTCAACTATTTAAACTACGTATTTTTGCGAAAAAATAGCTTTATTTCAATATTTAAATCATTCTTCAATTTTATTAATTTTGACAATAACAAAATGGTTGTGAATGTGAGAACACCAGTGTTGCCTTACTAATATATTTTGTAAACGAAGAAAAATAAATTAAACAGAGAGATTATACCCTAGATACAGGAAACAAAGCAAAAAGAATTTCTGCGCGTAAAAACCTTGGTACACCCCAGTGTTGGACCGACCAGGGTTATTTTTTTGAAGCGCGGCCGAAGGCCGCCAGTGCAGAAAGAAGTTTGACGCAATTGAATTATGAACACCCCGGTGTTGGACCGACCGGGGTTATTTTTTTGAAGCGCGGCCGAAGACCGCCTGCATGCAATGAGTCTCCGCCTGACACTAACCACCTCTTTGCATGCCCAACAAACCCCACTCATCTAACACCCCTCTCCCTATGGTCCGACCCCGTCGAAACAGCTCGTTTCCTGGGCCTTCCGTTAAATGACCTCGACGACAACGAATCTACAATTTATCACCCAAACGGGGATTAGATAATCGTTACAACAACAACAACAACCGCCAGTGCAAATAAAAAATCTTTACAAAAAAAAAAGTAATGTTAAAGAGAATATATCACTCTCTATAAACTTCAATTTTTATAAAGGATAATTATAATAACAGTGAAGATTTTGAAAATTTGATATATGAATACATATGGCGTAAAAATATAGTAAATCAGCATCATGATCCATTTGTGAAATTATCAGATGCAATAAAACATACGTTTAAGCCATAAAACCTTTTTCTTTTATTAAAATGGAAAATTAAGTTCATAATATTTTGTAGAGGGTGATTGGGTTTTTTTTATTTATTTTGATTGCTTTCATCCGTTTGGATATGGCAACACTTATTATCTGACAACGTGGAACCCATTTGTTATTGTTCATATTACGAAAATTGTTTAAAAATTAAATGCTTATTTAAAGCAAATACTTAAATATTTAATATAAAATAAATATGTAGAAACATTGTAGTGAAGTGTTAGAGTGTAATAAGTGCATAATATAAAAGAAAAGATAACCATAAATCGAGAAATTGCAAAATGAAATTGTGAAATTTTCATCTTAAAATGCAAATATCTCGAAAACTATAAGTTTCCGGCGGCAATAATTATATATATTCTAGATCTGGAGAATCTCCTCTATCCAACCATACTCCTCTTAACCCTGAAATCGTGGAATGCTAAACTAAAGTTTTCCCAAAAGAAGTTCTACAAGAAAAAGAAATATTGTCATAGAGGGTATAACATAATACTTAACATCAATGCTCTGTAATAGTTTATTTCTTTAGGTTTTGGATTCCTGTATTTGCGGTATTATATCTTTTAATTTCTTTCAGTTCAATTACAAAAGATGTCGTTAAAGTAACACTGGTTATTTGAAATTTTGCAACCCTTTTGTTATTGTCAGAATTAATAGAATTTAACAATAATTTAATTATTGAATTTAACTATTTTTGCACTATATAATGTAAAATAAATGTGTACAAACGAATAAGTGAAGTGTTAGTGGATATAAAAGTGGAAAATATAAGCGTATAATTCATTTGAAATCAAAAAAATTGGTACTTTAAATAATTTCAATTTTCAACTTTGAACGTAATATCTCGAAAACTATAAGTTTTCCGCGGCTATATCTATATATATTCTTGATCTGGAGGATCTCCTCTATCCGCCCATCCCATTTTATCCCCGAAAGCCTGGGACGGTATACTAAAGTTTTCCCAAATATTTTTTTTTTCATAAAAAAAATAAAGTTTTACAAAAAAAACACACTTTGCACATGTGAACTTATATTTACTAATTGAGGCTTCTTTCCTTTGGGGACCTAAACTATACATTTACCAAATATTTATCGATTCGGTTTGCGCGCGCAGTTTAAATGGATAATTTTATACATAGCAAACCTACATGTACGCGTGCAATGCTACAATCATGAGCTACACTGACTGAAGTACTACGTCAACTTTGTATTATTTGACTTTTTTAAATAAAATTTTTACATACCTTTTCATTGTCATAAATGCCTTTTTTTAACAAATCATTGCTGAAGTCAACAGATTGTATATGGTTCTGAACATTTTCCAATACATTGGATTTGTAACAGTCATTTTTTGAAAAATCGGGTTTATCTTCCTGTACAGGATTAACATTGCAAAACTCTCTCGATTTATCAACAACTTTATTACTTCTCATTGGATTTTGTTCATTTCCCATTGTCCATTTTTGGTCAAAAGGCAAGATATTTGACGACGAATTGATCTCAACTGCGGGAACTGAAGGTAAAGTAACAACAGGATTTAAATGGCCAGCCATCAAGGGATCTGAAGAACTGTAATTGTTCGTACAATTTTTTCCTCCATTTTTAACTAAATCAGGACTAGATACTCTGGGTGGCAATAATAAATCAGGTCCAATGAAATTTAATGCTTCCACGTTACAATCGTGTAACAAATGATTTGACAGAGCTTCATCAGAGAATTCCATTTGATCAATGTCCTCGAAAAAATTCTGCATTTCTATTTGATAAATGCACGTAATGTGTACCTAATATAAACACTCAAATGTTTTAAAGCTTACCAATAGGCACCATGTCCTTTATAATGTTCAAAGTATCTTCTTCCTTAAAAATATCCAATGAATCAAACGCTGTTCCGTATGAAAAATCCATGTCAGCGGGCTTAGACGAATTATTTTCCTCCATTTTCAATATGTTCAATTGTGTTTAAAAACATCGTATGATCTATATATAATACATTTGAATCGATAGTAAAAAATACCGATTACGCTGTAATTCCTTATTAATGACCTAAAAACAAACTGTCCAATTTATTGCCAATTGGTTGGCAATATTACTGTTGCCAGTTTCTTTCCTGACACCATCATTTGCGAAATGGCGTCAGGCCGATATGCTAAAACTAAAGCGACCCCACAAGACGGTAAAAGTTTCCACGATTGTCGGGTCCCCGTAAAGGAAATGGACCCAGATTTTATCCGTACAAAAACTGTAAGCCCGGCAGAATTCTGCCGCTTTACTCCAACAACAGTATCTGGTAATAGTTAGGTCATCATTAATTAATGCATTTGTTATCCGATAGGTTACTTTTGCTCTAACCTTGGAAACAAATAACATTTCTGCTCTTTCACTACACGACGGTGTGAATATCTAACTCACTCTCTCTAATTACTTCTGCTCAAATGCCTCATATATTTTTCTGCTCTAATTTGCAAACTATTTTGGAAAACTATCTGTTACTTTTTGGCTAACAGTGATCTTTAGATTGGTTCTATTTTTGGCTAGCCATCTGTTACTGATAAGAGGAAATTTGGTTATTGCTAATGTTACCTATAAGTTTCAGAAAACTGGTTCATCGGTTATTTGTTTAATAAGCCATTGGTTACAGAAAACAGAGAACGTATTGCTATATGAGAAGGTTCGTGGCGTGCCCATTGTCAAAATGGTCCGCTTGACGGCGGGTTACTCGCAAACTTAAGAGGATTTCACCTCAAACAAATTATAAGCGGATTTCACCAGAGTTTTACCCCTGCGGAGCGCAAAATAACAGAATTGAGCATTTTGACTGTTAAATGAGAAAATTAATGCGCATTTCAATGTTAAGATATCTACGCTTACAGATTCGTACACTTACAATACGCAAATGACTGTGCATATAATTTTAAGATATGCTGCATATACAGGGTGGAGCACGAATCGTTCTAAGTTTCTAAACCGTAATAATATTCATTTTAGTCAATGCATTACATTTATTTTTTTGTTGTATAAAAAATTTCATACTATTTTATACCATTAATTATACCTTCATGCTCAACCACGCATATGTGACACCTAATTAGAAATTATTAATTGCGGGCTGAAGGTTAAATCGGAATTGCTTCAATTACGTATTTAATTGACTGCTTCAGTTCAGAAAGATTTCTGGGTTTGATTTTGTACGCCTCTTGCTTGACATCACCTCATAAGAAGAGACCAAGCGGTCGCAGATATTTTTATACATATAAATATATATATGTTTATTTATGTGTGAATGTATACAAATATGAAAGTACCCATTATAACTGTTAGTTTGTCTACATCCAACACATGTACATATGTAAATATGTACACTCATTATTTTTTGCGAAATCTCCGTTCTAAGGAACAACAAGTGGCAGATACAGAATTTGTTCCTGGAGTGAATAATTTAGTTCCAACATATTTTTAATATTTATATAACTTCATATATTCTTCTGAATTTAAGTTAATATTATATAAATTTTTCGTCAATATTTTATAATTGCCGTACAATTATTTATACCCCCCATGGATCCACCACTGCGGACAACTTATGGCGAATCTCATGTTTTTGTTTTTATGTCAAAGAGTCAATATGTCGAAAAATTGAGGATTGATGCACGACGACAAATCGTCACAACATTGTGTTGTTGGTAGAAAATACGAGCTGTTCCGAAAATAAACAACGAACGGCCGCCGATTGTCCCCGCTTCCCTTGCCGCTCTAACAGCTTTGCCTACAAACCATCGTATATATGTATGTTTACGTATAATCATGCATACATATCGACGCAGTTTTTTACGAGCAACTGAAAAATATTTTAGAATTGTGAAACATTTTAAATCGACAAAACCTTTGTTGCCACTTTTTTCTGTGTTTTTTGGATATGTGGGGTTGCAACTTTTCCTTTCTAGAGGGAAAATGAGAAATTTGTTCAATTTATGATTTTTGGCTTTTACCATCGTCGCGAAAAGACGCTGGCAGCAAACGCTTGCCCGGGGAGATGAGGGGGTGTCTGTTTTTATTAATGAAGCGAGGTTGTTTGTTGAAAGTACGCTTGCTTTCATGTATGAAAATGTTGTTGTTGTGTGATTTACCATAAATTTGGGATTCGGCTATTTTACTGACATATTGACATGTGACGATTGTTGTTTTTGTCGAAAAATGTTTGCAGTTTTTGTGGGTGACATATTTACATGTGCACGGATATACATTTGTATGTATGTTGGTTTGTGTATGCATTATATGTTCGGGAATGTCATATATACATAGATGTGTGTACATATTGTGGCGAACACGAGTACCAGAACAAATCAGAATTAACGATAAACTACCAGAAGTAACTAGACAGCGAATTCGTAGTTGCCAGAATGTTCTAGTAGCGAACTTTTGTTAAAAATTTACTATATAAGGGCTGCCGGATTGTGCAGCAGACTCAGTTCTAATTAGAGTGTTGCCGTGTATAGAGCAATTAAGCAATAAGTTATAAGTTCGAATAGCGAGCTATAAGTGTTAAGTCGTTGGAATTGGAAATAAAGATAAGTGTATAGCATTAAATTGGGACTTTAATTTAACAATCCAGTGATCGAGCTCAAGATTGAGTTTGGTTTGACGATTTATCGAGAAATCCGTTACAATATAAATCAATGCGCCACATTTATTGTATTGATATGTGATAAAATCATGATTTGAATTTCTGACTGCGTACATTCAAATCCGCATGTGCAGATATACATATGATTATATAAGATTAATATGATAAAAGATGTACATATGTACATATATGTTGTAATAAATTTAATCTCTCTTGGTAACAATTATAATACAACATGTTTATTAATAAAGTATATTATGTAAAAACTAAATAAAATTATTAAATTCCCAAATCTACATTATGTATAAAATATTGTGAACATTCCATAATTTAATTAGTCTTATCAGTTTTGCATGCATTAGCTGTGGTGAAATCCACTAATAGAATCTTGTTAGGTTTTGACAATTCACACGCTTGTCCGCAATTGAAGCTTTTCTATGGTGTTGGTATTTAGTTACTCGTTACTTTTGCTTGTTACCACTTGGATACCACTGCCTAACGTATCGGTTACCTTTATATTTTTAAAAATAAAACAATTTAGATTCTTACTTTTTTTAATTTATTTAATATTTTTTTGAAATTTACATTTTGATACATTATGGTTCTATTTATTCTTTCTTTTCGTAAGAATTTTTAGTAATTATTTTAGATTAGCTGATATATTAGCATTTATACATATATATATAGATATATAGGTATATATTACAAACTAAATTTTTTGTTGGGTAACATTTATACATAGACGATATTATCATAAGTTTTTTTTACTAATTAATATCACTTGTTAAACCTTATAACATTTACAATAATGATACTAATTTTTTTTAATATTCGCACATAATGAACACACATGTATTTTAAATATACAATAATGTTTTAACTAAATTAATATAGTACTTAACACTAATAGGTCATTTAAATTTTATATTTTAAGAACTAAGACCTTTATTAAAGTCCAGTGAGAGAACTTTCCATCGAAATTTACATATATTTAAAATTTTTGAAGTTTATACAAGAAGATTGTTTTATCATGTATTTGTTAATGAATACAATCCAATTGCTAAGGAGTGCTAAGGAATTCAATAGCATCGTAGAAGATGAGATGAGAGATATACATGCTATGGTGAGACAGCGCACCAAAATTATGAGCGATAAAATGAATGCAAAATACGACAAGGCAATGAACTCTGAATGTTTTATTGAAGGCGATTGGGTATTGTTATGTAACCCATAACGAAAGAATGGGGTTATCTCCCAAATTACAGTGCAATTGGGAAGGAGCATACTAGGTTATTAAACAACTCAACGATGTAGTGTATCGCATACAGACTATTGGAAGAGCAAGGAATAAAATGAAGGTGGTGCATCTGGAACGGCTTGCAGCGTTTGGTACGGCAAATATGTCCAATCGGGACGATCAGACTTAGCTGTAGGACAGTGTAGCGAACACGAATACCAGAACAGCGAACACGAATACAGCTAGACAGCGAATTCGTAGTTGCTAGAATTTAGGAGCGAACTTTTGTTAAAGATTTACTATATAAGGGCTGCCGGATTGTGCAGCAGACACAGTTCTAATTAGAGTGTTGCCGTGTAAAGAGCAATTAAGCTATAAGCAATAAGTTGTAAACTCGAATATCGAGGAATAAGTGTTAAGTTGTTGAAATTAGAAATAAAGATAAGTGTATAGCCAAAGAATGTTAATAAATAGAGAAGGCACAAATTTTCACAAGAGCGAACATGAAAAAATACAACTTCGACACTTTTGAAATACACCACGCAATGATCGAAACGGTGAAAAGACTATAAATAGACACAAAGAATGCTCTCAAATGAATTATGCGCATGCTGATTTAAATTTTCATATTACCAAAAATCATAATTTTGGTAATTTAAAATAATCATTCCAATTATATTAGTTAAAGCCGCAGATTTTACAACAAAATAAGTAATTAATAGAAAGCTTCTTCAACACCTTTTTGCGCGTTGCATGAACAATATCTACTAGGCAAAGGATAACAATAAAACAGTGGCTAAGCGGCGGCTCTTTCGCTTTACGGTGGCTCAGGTCGTAAGCGTGAAGAAGTTAAGGTCAATGCGAAAACGAGCATATAAGTTCAAATCCTAAACTTCATGCAGCTTCAATTAAAATTTATTTTTTTATTTTATTAATTGGAATCTTAACATATCTCAATTCAATTACATTAATAGCTTATTTTACTTCCTGAGATAATTAAAATATTTCAGGAAAATATGTTCATATGTTTAGGTTTATTAAATATTCCCTTATTTATGCGTATTTACACAAATGTGACAATCACACATACATTCTTAAACACACGTACGCTGATGCTTGCTTCTTCTTGCCCCGCACAAACAAAGACTTCACTTTTTGCTAGAATGTAGCAAGTTGAACGATCGCAGACAAGGAGGGTCAGGGGCGCACTGCTACATAATTATTTCAGATATTTTTTAATAATCGAATTCATTTTAAAGACGTTTAAATAAGTATGCATTTATGAGTATTTATATTTTTACGTAAATATTATAATATTACGTAACTAAGCCCTAAGATATCATTATTTTTCTATATAAATTTAGCAATACAATAATATGATACAAATCTTCCGTTGAAACGCCTCTGACTATGATGGCACGCTATGGAAGTAACCGCGAGCTCGCGCGTAGACTGGGGGAGCAAAAAATAGAGTTCTGACAAAACGTTGAAAAAAGCCAAATGACAATTTTGCCGACAAACATTCATACATACGAGCTCGCATACATATTGACGTCGAATTTTGCACATCGTGGCGGAGTTGACAAAATTTGTTTGAATCCACAATTTTGCGACAATGTCGGTCGGCTATGTTGTCTCGTTTGTCCTTTCTGCAGTGGTTTGATATTGAAAGTTGACTTATGCTCTTTTGAAACGACTACATATTGGAGTGCATTTTCATAGCGTCGTATTTAGATAAAATGGGCTAAATCGAAAATCTATGTAATAATGGTAATAAATAAACATATAAAAGTACTCTATGCAGTGTGCTTAGAATATATAAGTGGAAGTAGTTAAAGACTTCATATGAATGGCAATTTTATATAAATTTTATAACATAATGTCATATATAATGCATAATATGAAATAAATTTAAAAAAAATTTCAAATCGCTAAGAGGTCATGTTGCCAATTCTCCTTTCTGAGCTTGTTGGCAACATACAAAAGAGAGGGGGATGGTAGGATTTTCAGTGATACAAATTGTAAAATTGAAATTTTGCTGATTCTTCAATTTTACTGAAGACATTCAAATCCAATTTCATTAATCTTTATTTAAACTTAATTTTCGCGCATTTGCGGTAGGAATTTCGTATGAAAACCAAATTTGGTTGACCAGGCGCACAGAAAAAAAAGCGCAGTGCAGAATTAAAAACGATCACGCTTCATGTTGTAGCATACGCGCGTTCCTTATGAATGAATTTGTTGGCGTTGTAATATGAAATATTAAAAAAAATAGAGCGAGCTTGCTTGAATCTTATTGGTCGATGATGGTGCGTCTACGTTTTATTTTTGTCGCTTGTCCGAATGTACATATGTGTATATATATGTAAATATATTAACACATGCGAATGGAGGCAATTTTGGGAATTGATTTACATACCTACATATGTACATATATATGTGTACATATATGAAAATATATTTGGACATGCGAATGGAGGAAAGGCATAGAATATTCACATTTAAATTGATCATTTGAAACTAGTAAACGACAATAGCTGTTTTAGTTCACAGATTAGACACGAAACATTCATTATTATCTGTGGGGCTGCTTGTATAGCTCAGCTCCTTTTTGCAAATTCACATCAAATATATTGCCTGAGTACGAATCCTATCACAGATGTTGTTTTATTCCTTTTTTAATTTTTATAAACCTTTTTTATTAAAATTATTTTAATTTAATTTTAATTTTTCCCTCACAGCTTACATTTGCGCCTTCTATATTTATTAACATTCTCTGGTATAGCCATTAAATTGGGGCTTTTATTTAACAGTCCAGTGATCGAACTCAAGAGTGAGTTATAGTTAGACGATTTATCTAGAAATCCGTTATAGTAATATTGGATTGCTGTCTAATAAGTGAGGCAAATACTGCCAAAAATTTAGCCTAGCAAATAAAAAATGCCTTAACTGAGTGGGGGGTATTTGATAAAATAATATTTACAGTATCTGATAACGCAAACAATATAAAGAGTGCCTTTCATAATGAGCGCAAACTACGCCACTTCCTTTGTTTTGCGCATACGTTAACTATAATTTTTAAAGCAAGTGTAAGTGGGTTTGACGTTAATACTGTTTAAAAAAAAGCAAAACTAATTGTCTTACGTTTCAGAAAAAGCACTTCAACAAATGAAAAATGTATTAGTTTTCAACGCAATGCTGGTACTGCCTTTTAAACTAATTCAAAGTGTTGATACTCGCTGGAATTCTACATTTGATATGGTTGAACGTTTTATAAAAATGGAAGATGGCGTTAAAAGTACTGTCCCGCTCATAGATAAGGAATTACCCCAAATTAATCTTAACGAATGATTACTGCTTATAGATTTGGGACTAAAATGCGCATGGGCCGATGGAGAAGATCGTGCAGACCAAGAATATATAGATGTAACCGTTGAAACTTATAGTTTTCGAGATATTTGCGTTTAAAGTTGTAACTGATATAGTGTGTTGCCGAGTTTTGTTTTAAAATTTATAACTTTAAGAAAGTTTTTATTGTATATTCAAATATTTTTCGATTATTAAAATTCATAAAGATGAAATATTCATTTAATGACTATATCCCTTGGAGTTATTTAGAATCTTTTGTAAACTCTTGACACTAATTAGGACATTGTATTATTATTATGTTGTTCATGAATACCTGATTTTTGAAATTTATACAAGAAGATTGTTTTAGCATGTACTTGTTAATGAATACAATTGAATTGTACCTGATTTTATAACTCATTTTGGTTTTTGTTTAAGGTGATTATTTCGGCTTATATTGTTAATGTAATTACTATCCATGAAGTGTACCTGATTATATATAAATATTTTGTTTTTCTAGTTACATTTGTTATGAAAAGTAGATTATAGGCTCCTGGGAAACCAAACACCCAAACAAGATCGGTTACACACCTCCATTGCATCCTCAGAAGTGATCAGCAAAAAACAAAAAAAAAATGCAATAAACTTTTGTTTCGAATATATTTTTGAAAGTTTTGATTAATGTTTTCCATTACAAATACCTGTTATTAAAAAAGTTATTACACTAATTCTTTTTATTTACATCTCTGTTTAATAAAAGTCAGATATCTATTAGGTGATCTCAGCTGTGTTACACACATAGGAAAACAGCAAATTTTTAGTTACATGTACGATTGTACAATGATAACTTATCTATTAAGAAAAGTAGCAATAGCTATAAAAATAACTGATTTAAAAATCGCAATCGCTCTTTGTACTGAAACTGAAAAATCGCTGCTTCGCTCATCACCAATAACCGAACCACACAAATGTTCGCGAAGATTTTGTGAAAAGGAAGACAGAAAAACTCGACTCGAGTTGCTAGACTCTTTTCGCTCGTGTGAACGCATAGAGCCACACCAAAAAAGAATTTGCCCATAATGAATGACATAAGAGTCCCCTTGTGAAGTCCCCTCTGAGCATGCGTATAATAATAATAATAAAATAGCAAATTGCAAGGCAATACAACTTGCAGGCAAGGAAATATAAGTACAAAAATGGTATTTTCATCGTTAAAGCAGAAAATAAGGTAACCTACCTTAGAATCCCCAATTGGCTCACGCAACTCTTAACGATCGCTAAACAATTGATTCCAATCGATTTTTATCTCGGGCAACGCACTAGAAGTATTCCTCCGCCTTATGCAATGATAAGCAAGACAGAGCTAGTATTCTTTAAATGGCACCAGGCTAACGATAGGAGAAAAAACATACTACTTGGGACTAATTTTGGACAGGAAGCTTTCTTGGAACAAAACTTGGAAGCGAGGGTAAGAAAGCAGCTACAGCGCTTTACACGTGTAAAAGAGTGGTGGGGCCCAGATGGGGACTGACGCCTCGGGTAGCTCACTGGCTCTACACAGCAATTGTAAGGCCGATCATGACCGACGCTATAGTAGTATGGTGGCCAATCACAGAAAAGAAATATGCGATTAGAAGCATGGAAAGTATACAAAGAGCAGCTAGTATTTGCGTCAGCCGAGCTCTCAGAACTATGCCAAGCCAGGCACTCAACATAATTTTATACTTGTTGCCAACAGATTTGTATTGCAAGCAAATGGCAGCGAAGTCAGCTCTGAGACTGATGAATCCTCCCTACTAGTCGCCAGCAACAAGGGGCATTCTATGAAGGGGCAGAAGGGGCATTCTTTCTTAGAAAGTTCCCGTTTCTTCCCATAACTACGGATTTTCGCGATCGTATGGAGCTGAACCTAAATCCGGTCCTCAATATTGCCTTCCCTTCCAGAGAGGAGTGTGAAAGGATGGATAACCGAGTAGGCGGCGGTGTCTTCTCGGCTAAACTAGATACCAAAATCGCCTTTCGGTTACCAGACCACTGCAGTGTCTTCCAAGCAGAGGTCACTGCAATTAAAGAAAGCTTTCTTGTACTAACAAAAAATGTAATCACAACAAGAAGTGTATTTATATATACAGACAGCCAGGCGGCTTTGAAATCTCTGATGTCTCATAGGATTTCGTCGAAGACAGTGAAAGATCTTCTAGCGGATCTGTCATCCTATTTCACGGTAAATCTGCAATGGGACCCAGGACACAGTGACATCCCTGGGAACTGCGTAGCAGATGAACTAGCAAGAACAGGCACCACCCTACAACTAGACCCTGGTAAGGAGGACATAAATATGCCTCTGGCTACTTGTAGATACCTAATCGACAAACATGTCATTAATATAGCCGAGTGTCAGTGGAATCAATCCCTTACCTGCTCAACTAGCAGGCAAACGTGGCAAGAATGGAATATGAGCCGCACATGCCAACTGTTAAAATTCAAGAGGAATGATATAAGAACTCTCGTAGGAGTACTAACAGGCCACTGTCTAATAAGCAGACATGCAAGTAGACTTGGTACGCCATATTACGACCATTGTAGAAGCTGTCAGGAAGTAGAAGAGGAGGTGACCATTAAACATCTTCTATGCGATTGCGCTGAACTATATAGGAAAAGAATCGCAGCCATCGGTCGTGGGTTTCTTGACGACGCCCCGGATAAAACTTGTCTCACTGATGAAGTTCAACAGAAGTACGGGGTGGTTCAGAGAGGAGCCAATAGAGTGAGGGGACCACAGTCCCGGTGGTATCACAATGGGCCTTCTAAAGGCCTAATTTGTAATACTTTTATAACAAAATTTTCCATTTAAAAACAAAAAGTTAGATTTGAAAGTGTAGTGGAGTAAAAGATTTATGTATTAAATAGGAGTGTAGGAATAAAATAAACGTGTTGAAACATTTAAGTGAAGTGTAAGAAAACTCACTATATGTAAACCGAAAAATTTATGTTTTTGGGTTTTAAATGCGAATTTATAAAGATTTCCCACAAAATTTGATAAGGATTCAACATTTATCATGCGATCCTGAATCCGCTATCCGGATTTCAAAGTATTTAAATACCAGCTCTCCCTTGAATCCCTTAAATAAACATCAAAGATTAATAACAAAAACAAATCTCTAATTTAAGCTTTTTATGCATTTTAGCTTTGTTACATTCTGAAATATTTCGGCAAACCATCATATCTGCCAAAATATTTCTTTTTAAATTTGAAATTTATTTAACAACCAGAAACCAAATTAATTTTAGCACATTCCGTAAAATATGTGAATAAAGTTTCATTGTGTTCGGTTAAGTGAAATTGGTACGAAAGCGTTTTCTCAATACTAATTTATTCATCTTTAACCGCTTAGCTTAGCTGGATGATATATTTAACTAACTCTACTTTTACACACAGATTCTTTTGTAACCCAAACCGGTTTATTGAGGGCGAGGGGACGACGAGGAAAGACGAAGGGACCGTGCCACTCGTGATCGGGTGGCACCCTTTGTGTTCTTGTTCGTAATAGCTCGCTACTACCCTTTTCAGCATTCTTTTTCACTTTCAAATTCTTTAAATGGTTGCAAGAGCGCTCGGTTTAAATAAATTCGTTCACAAATTTTAATTCTGTTATCTATTTTTTGTATGTAATATGCAAATATGTATGCATAGAATAATAGAAATATTTTGAAAAATTGTAAATAAGGAGAAAATTAAGATATAGATTATGGAGTAAAGAAATTATGAATTTTTAATAATTAAAGACTAGGAAATTCCTGTTATAAATATGGCCTTGAAATAATTAGTAGCGGATATTCAAAACATTCTGGTGGATTAGGGAATTCCCATCTTAAGTATTTCTTTGAAATTATTAAGCGGGTAGGTATTATGCATATTGTTCTACTATATTCATGGTAATTCATTGCAAGCAAAATGTGTGACCAACATCTCAACATACAAATGAAATGCAACACGCTCTAAGTGTTGCGCAGTCGAACCTCACAAATATTTACAAAAATTTTGTAAAAAGGAATGCAGAAAAACTATACTCGAGTTGCTGGACTCTTTTTGACGGTGTGAATGTACAGAGCGACACCAAAAGAGAATTTGAAAAATATGAAGGTCAAAAGAGTCCCAATGTAAAAGCCGTCTAACAGAACCGTTTTCACCAAGTCGTGGTAAGGTTTCTTATAGATATTTAGATTATTGAGAATGCGTGGGGAAAACAGTTCACAATACTTGCATTGTAACACCGCAAAACTGTGTAAATGTGCTATGTATGGGCATGTTCAAACGAGGACTTTTTTTGCCGCCCAAATCAGTTTTCTGTAACGATAAGAGGACCAGAAAAGACGAAGAGACCGTATCGTCGGGCTCGGGCTTTACTACTCATTATCCGAATTTACAACTTTTTAATTCTATATCAATTACTCTGAACACGACAACATTCTAACTAGAACTGTCCGTGCTGCACAATCTGGCAGCCCTTGTATAGGAGATATTTAACAAAATATCGCCTCTGGAACATTCTGTCAACTACGAGTTCGCTAACTAGTTGCTTCTGGCAATTTATCTTCGATTCGATTTTGTTCTATCATCTGTGTTCGTCACACTACCCTCCGCCTAAGTCTGATCGTAACGATTTAACATATTTGCGGTAACAAACGCAAAGCTTTTATGTCCACCAATTCGTCTTCTAAGCTGGTGTTAACTTCCGCAGCCCTCCTTTTCTTCTTGGAGTTAATTCCATCCGTTTTCCGAATACCCAGTTTCTGGTACATCCCTTGACTCAAAGCTGACTCGAGATTCCATTCTTGATCAGAACTTAATTCCATTGGAATACCGAATCTCGTTACTCACTTGTTGACAAATGCGTCCGTCACTGGTTTAGCTTCTTGATTAGGAGTTATATTTACTTCTAACCACTCGTTAAAATGATCCTTCACTAGCTACAATGCACTCAGCATATTTCGCAATCCTCTCCATACCTGTATGACGACAACCAGTCCAATAAAACCTTTGCTTCGATTTCTCAAAGGTTTTCGTGATTCCCAAGTGCCCTCCTCTTGGACCTTTGTACTCCACGTTAAGAGCTTCAGGAATTCTAAACTTCGGAAAAACCATAAGTTAGTAAGCTTTGCCCATTTTCGTACTCAATGCAAGCAGCCACACACAAACTTTAAACTGCTCCGCTTTGGCCAATATACTTTTGCGACTGAGCTTTATGAAGCTATTTCTTTACTCGTTGTACATTGGTTCAAACCTACTTTATGCATGACACCATCCAATTCTGGACCTTCTTCAAAGTGTCATTTGTTTCAGGATTTATCCTGCTTTTCCTTCTGTGAGGACAACTGAGCTGGTATACACGATTCGTGGTCTTCCAACTGTGAGGAATCTTGTGCTGGTATACACGCTTCCTGCTCTTCCAATTGTAAGGACACTTGTGCTGCTACACAAGCTTCTTGCTCTTCTGACTGTGAGGACCCTTTTACTGGTACACAAGCTTCTTGCTCTTTTGACTGTGAGGACCCTTTTGCTGGTTAACATGCTTCTTCCAACTGTGAAGACAGCTGCTCTGAGATACGCACGTCC